TATATATATATATATATATATATATATATATATGTAGTGTATTTTTGTGTTATGATAGTGTATTTCATGTCTAGATATATGTTAAAATGTAGTGTGTTAGGCAATCCACACTTATTGTGGGTAAGTGATCTGTGTTTTGGATTATGTTTGTATGATTCTCTTTGTTAAGGTATTTATTTTTACATTTCATATATTTTATTTGTTAACCTTGTGTGCACAGGTAGGGGTCAAGTGTACATGCCCTGACTTTGTACAGAGTGCCATTCAAGATGGTATTATACAGTTGATGACAGAATTGTCAACATGTAATGTTACTCTACATTGCTGATTTTGTAACAGTTTGTGTTAGAGTACCAGATAGAATATGCAGGAATACTGGAAAAACTTTAGATGTGCATTAAGGAGGTTCTTGAAGTTAGTCAAATGCAATTTGGAACTGTACGATGTTTTCACATGAACATCACTTTGCACTCCAACTTGTCATAGTCTGAGTCATACTGACTTTGGTGTTTCAGATATATCTTTAATATAAGATCTAGCAATGCATCTTATTTTTTATGAACAACACACTTGTAATGTTGACTAAAAGCTTACCATATATTTCGTGAAGACACTTTGTAAATTCATATTTGTAGTCAATATTATCTCTTCAATATAGAGTTGGTGCATTGAACACACAGACCCCTTGCACATTCAGTTAAAAGGCTTTTATTTCATGTGTAATTTTCTTTCTTTCAAGGTAGTTCTTGGATTGTTCTTGTTTTTTGATTGTGAGTGCACTGTGTTATAAATCCCATCTTAAAGAAGGCAGGTGAACTTTGTGTGCTTTGTTTTTGTGAAGTTGTTTTTGCTTTTATAAATGTTAGCATTGTTGAATGCATAGTTTTACTGGGGTAAGGGTAAGTTATTTTGATTTTTTGAACAATAGACAATTGAAATTTGATTTTTTTTGTAATTTTAGAATTAGTGACAGCTTGGAAGAAGAGAGAGAAACAAATATGTGGTACAGGATTATAGTTTGTGTTAGCCTTTTCTTTCTATGTTGCACACAAAATATGGAGTTACTAACTGGCAATTAGCCCTGTTTCCTTGCAAAAAACAGTTGTCTTTTCTGTTGGTTGTTTAGCATCTGCTCACCCTTTCACTCAAATCCCAATGGACGAATGTCACATGTTTGAAGTGTGGGCATGTACGAGCCTGGTTTTGTTTAAAATGGTGATCTGTATAACCTTTTTCTAACTTTTTTGAACATAATTGTATGCTTGTATGTATTACACATAACAAAAGCATTTTACAAGTAATTTAAAATTATCACATTGAACAGATATTATTGTTATAACACAAAAATCAAAACCTGAATTTCTCTTTCTCTTCTATTAGTTTTCCCATGCTTTCATGTCTGTGGACTTATACTGCTAGAAACTGGGTATCGATACCCATGGTGGGCAGAGCACAGATAGCCCTTTTGTATAGCTTTGTGCTTAATAACAAACAACAACATCAACTGAATACTTTGAACCAAACATGTATCTTTAAGTATATTCAAACTTCTCATCAACGTTTATTTTTTATCTACTATCCAATTGAAGCTAAATTATAGGACCCAAATTCATTACCACATTAGTATTAAAGGTTTGTGATGTTAACTGTTGTCTTAACTTTGCACTCACAGGACTCTTCTTTTCATTTTGGTAGATTTGTACCCAACATCTTCAAAAAGAATCTTACTTGTATTGTAGTTAATCATTCACTAGATTTCCAGTGCTTTTTTTTATTCTTATTATCATAATAAAGTTATTATATTAAATAATTTTACCTGAAAAGTCGGACCTCTATTCATCTGAACAATACTGTTATTATACGGTGACATTTAACTCTCCCACTTCCATGGGCACGTATATATATATCTCCCTTTAGAGCACTGCCATGGGAATTTCGAACTTTTTACCACCGTTAAAGAAAGGCATTTGCCTTCAAACTTCCCATAGTTTACCACTTTCAAATTTCAGATACTTTAAGAATTAAAATGGGTCTTTTTGTTTTTGTGTTCATTATATATACTTCATCCAATATGATAATGTGCTTGATGTCACCAGTAGAACTTTTTTGCTATTTTGTTTTTTGCTTGGCTATGTGCTTTGGCAGAGGCTTGTGAACACTACTTTTATGTTGCTATTGAGTAATTAAGTGATTAATTTTAATATTACAAAATGCTTAGTGTTAGTACAGGAAGTAACACTGTAATGCTCTTTTAGAACTTGTGTTTGTTGTTTCTTATGCATAATCTACATCTACATTTTGATTTAAAACTCATTATCTGTTACCTTGCATTACTAGTTTTAAGTATGGTAGTTTTGTTTTGTTCAACAAATCAAAATTTTTTCTCTTATCTCAGAGTCACAGAGGAAAGTTTTTGGAAAAATTACTTTTACAGAGTGTCTCTCATCAAAAAGTCTTTCAAAACAAATGTTCAAGCTGAAGGCAAAGGTCAGTTTCAATTCCAATATAAATAATCAGATTTTGCATTTTAATATAAACATTAGTAACCTTGACATCTCTATATGTAGTTGCTTTACTGTGTAATGTACTTTCTCATGGATAAGATGTGTGGTCATCACAGTAACAGAAGGTAGTTATACCTTTTTCGTATTAATATGAAAACACTTTTCAGTGTAATTTTTAATGCTTAATCAGACTTAATTGCTTATATCACGTTTTGTTTATTTGATTTATTTCCCAGATACAAGTTTCCTTCAGTTTTTTTTTCTATATGTATTCAAAACTATACATTTTTGTAATTTTGTTTTTATTTTGTAGTTTATGCTAACTCAAAAATAGATTACTTTCAACATTTTTCTTTATTTTGTGCAAGTGCCATAGAAAAATAATACTTTTTATTCATTAATGTCAATATTTTATAATTTCTCAAACTTAAGCTAAATATTTTGGTAATTTTTATTTTAGTCTCTTTCTAAAGACTGTTTTGAAAATAATATTTCTACAGCTTATACTAATGCCATAGAAAAGTGAATAATATGATAATTTTTACTTGTCGTGGGTTTGATCAGGCTCAGTTGGATTCTACAGTTTGTATTCATTTCAGTTAACCCTAAGGACACAGGCTCGTGTATTTTACATGAACTTGTAACCACCATGGAATCATGAATGTATAAAATACTACAACTGTGAAAGTACTTAATGTCTCTTTATGGAATTTGGCAAACTTTCACTAAGTATTACAAGTCTTTGGTACACAAAAAAACTAATTTTGCACTTAAATATTTTTAGTAAAGATTTTTCCATGAATATATGGAATAATAGTGTTGACTGCTCTGAGTGCAAAGTGATTTTTATGTGAAGATCAAAAAATACCTTCTTCATTTAAAAGTTTCAAATTTCATTTATGTAACCTCTAAAACCTCTGAAATAAATATCAAACTTTTATTTATCAGGAAAACTATATTTTATCTGTTATTTTCTATACCCTAACTCTATGTGGACTTGATCGATTTGACCGACCTTATAACCACAATAAAAAAAAAAGATATATATCTAAGTTACCCTTTCTTTCTTTTTAGAATAACTGCAGGTTGTAACAGAAAACTACAACTGTCTATTCTAAATAGATTAAGGCTCATAACAGTATGTATCTGTTTCTACTTAATTTTTGTCATTTTATTGCTCTTTGTACTGTGTTTAACTAATAATCCTGCCATACAAGTTGTAAATCACTCGGCAAATGCATAGATCGCATTACTTTATTGAATAGTGTAACACACAAGCTGCTTGCAAGCATATCCAATGAAGAATTTTTATCTTTTTTCTTATTATCTTACCTAATCTAACCTGATGTTTCAGTTTCTGACTCCATGAACAAATAAGATTGAAGGCAATAAAAATTAGACTTTGCCTTAGTAATATTAATATTATTATAATTGGTAATTTACATTAAATTCCATGCTACAGAGAAAGATGGTAAATAGAGAAGAGAGAAGATCTAGAGAACAAATATCACAATTCTCATACTAGAGGAGCTTGAGGATTTAGTTAACCCTATTGTGATGGGTAGGGGTCAGAGAGCATGTCATCACGTTTGTAGATTTACATTCAACATTTTATTTAGCTATTATTTTATAAACGTATGTCAATAAGTTTGATATCAAATTATAGGTTATAATTCAAATTTTAGTATTATACATTAGTTAGTTTCTTAATTTGAAACTAAATATTAAAAAAGGCTAAATATAGATTTTTGTGTGTTACGTGGTACATGGCCTTCTGGGTTTGGACAGATTACATTTTATGATGCCCAAAATACAACTTCTATAGTTTCATATGAATTAGAAACTCAAATGTTCGATTTTGGTAAGCTAGAATATAAAATAATAACCTCCTACCTTTTTTATTTGCTGAGATATCATGAAATTTAGGGAACCCATCATATTGGCTCCGGCCACCACTTCATCATTTGAGAAGACTTATTTATCTACACCTACTTTTGTATAGCAATAACTTTGTAATTCTGTCAATCTTCGTAAATTATTTACAAGAGAAAAGCTCTTATATCATTGGAAAGTTTGAAGTATTACAATCAAAGCTAGTTTGTGAATAGAAATTATATTTGGACAAGGCTTAGCAAGTATGACTCACAGTGCAAACAAGGACTTTGTAGCATCGTAAGTAGTAGAGGTAATTGTTTTCCAAATATTTTTTATTTAATGTTTTATGTTCAAAGAAAATAATTGACATTCAAGTATTTATTTGAAAACATTAGTTATATATATATATATATATATATATATATA